TGCTTTAAAGACAGAGAAACAGTCCTACAGCTACAACGTAGAGGAAGGTGGCCAAGGAGAAGATTGTTGCCAGTGTAAATGTATAGGTTTATACAAAGTTTAATTTGGAAAAACTCAGTGAAAAGACAATAAGAAGAATTTATTGATACAATTACTTTGTCTTTGGCGCTGAGACCTCGGCAGCAAACATAGCGCTTAAATTTTTGATGCATGAACAGGAGCAAAGAAGGGAGCTGTTGCTGCTCAGTGGTGCAGTCGGTAGCACTGCCGCCTTGCAGCAAGAAGGTTCTGGGTTTGATTCCCGGCCCGGGGTCTTTCTGCCTGAGCACGCATGGGTTCTCTCCGGGTACTCCGGCTTCCTCCCACAGTCCAAAACTGCCCACATCTCCAAATGACTGTTAGGTTGATTGGCTTCTCTAAATTGTCCTCAGATGTGAGTGTGTGCATGAATGGTTTGTTTGCCCTGTGTGTCTCTGTGTTGTCCTGCGATGGACTGGCGGCCTGTCCAGGGTGTACCCCGCCTCTCGCCCATTGACAGCTGGAGATAGGCACCAGCACCCCTCGCGACCCTACTCGGGACAAGCGTGTAAGAAAAAGGATGGATGGTTTATAGAATGTATAGACATTTATTTGGTAACATTTATCAAAAGAAAAATGGCAATAGTTACCTAATATTAGTGAGTAATGTAACATAATGAAGCAAAGTAAATGTCAATCAGAGTAAATAACTAATATCTACTTAAATTACTTCATAACAGCAAATTCTACAGGGATATTTACTTAAAATTTTAAGTAAAATGCTAGTTCACTTTACTTAATTTTTAAAAAAATCTAACTTGTAATTAAGTAAATGTTACTTAATATCTTCGCAACTGTTATGTTTAATGGAAAGTAAAATTCACTTGATACTGGCAAGTGAGTGTTACTTGATATTGCAGCATTAAATTTGACTTAAATCATTTGAGTGCAAATACTTACAATATATTTTTCAAGTAAATCTTATAAGCTGTTTTTGTCAGTGTGTAGTCTACCTGACATACCACATATGAGCCAGGTCCCTGAAGACACAAGTGATTATTTTTTGTTACCTGCTAGAGACAATGTAAGGGGTAACGGTGAGAGTCCACATAAAGAGACTGACATAGATGATCCTCCTGCACCACAGGTGCCTCCTATTCCTGTGGTCGGTAGCCAGAGAGGGAGACAAATATGTATCAAGGTTGGCTTGCAAAGAAATAGATCGAACACTGTAATTTGGTCTTAATACATTTAGAACCACTAACAAACTATCAAACCAATTATTCTACTTTTTATGTTTTGCCCAAACCGTCACTAAATATATAAATTTTGTACAAACCAAAAGTGCATGGATCAAGCCAGTGTTAGACATTATGTTCAGTCATTGTGAACAGCGCCTCACCTGGAATATGATTGAGAGTTTGCAGAAGTGCTAATGCGTGGGGATAAAACTATGTAGTGAAGCTGGACAAAGCTGTCTGCAACTGAACGAGAAAGCTGGCATAACTTTTGCATGATGCAACTTATTCATGGTAGATCTATAATAAAATAGATATAAAATAGGCTGGCCTTTTGAGCCCTACTTACTGTATTTACTGTCTTACAGTTAGTTATGGCATGTCTAATGACAACTAGTATAACTTATATCCTTTAGTTATTTTTATAAGTCTACCCACAAACTGAGGAGGAACCCCATGAGATCAAACAATATTTAACACAGAATAAACATTCTGGATATCTAGAAATAAATTATAGATTCTTATTGTTGCTGGTCATCATTTGTATTACTTTGACTATGAGGAAATGTTTGTCACATATCATTAATACATAATCAGTCAAGCTGATAAATGTGAAAACCACCACTTAAAATGTGGAAGTATGTATAGATATACAAAACATAATTCCTACTAGTATAATTTTCTTATTTTGCTCTCTGAATTTCAGTTTCTGCTGGCAAAAATCTAATTAGGAAAACTGTTACTGTTTTCCTAATTACATATTCACTAGGAATGTAATTTTTTTTTTTGATCTACAAATGGAACAAGACAGAGGAGAGGCCTGTTTATAAATGTTAAAATGGCCTGCTTTCTATAAACATACACATTAACTCGAGGAGCAATCTTCTTCTTTGCCATCTCCCTCTTCTTTGTAGCTGTAATGCTGTTTCTCTTTCTTTTTAACACACTCTATACTTTTTTTTATATGCATCAAAATCTCTAGTTCTAGTGGGGTGAAATAGACTCCGCCAATAATGGCTTTTCATACTTGTTACGCACGTGTTCAATTCTGAGTGGACCTATGAGGTTCCATTTGTATCAATAATAAGCAGATGTAAAATATCTAGATCTGTTGCTGTTGTTGCATATGTGTTGTCTGCATATTTCTGTTACATATGTAGATGTTTTATATGACAATGTTGTTTGTGTAGATGCAGTGTATCTCTATGTTGCATTTGTCTATGTTACATATGTAGATGTTGACACTGGGGGGCGTAATAGGCCAATGGACGCTTACTTGGTTTTATGAAAGCCATTTATAACAGATTATACATATCCTTTGAGGACAATTAAAATGATTAAAATGCCACCCATAGTTCATAAAAAGAGTTAACTCAAATAATAGGCCTCAATAATAATGCATTTTGATTTTTAAAGTTATTAAAATGCCACCTTTTTTAATCAGAGGCTCTGGGATATGGCTATTACGCCCCCTAGTGGCGGAAAAATTGTTTGGCTGGTTGAACCGCGATTGAAAAACCTGGTGATCCAGACACTAGATACCATATAAAGCACTTTGAATCCTGCCAATGTGAGCACACATTTATTCACAGGACAGAGGCGGGGTCCCTTGGGGT